TATATATACTTTGTGGGGTCTGCCACGCCTCCTTCTGCCTGTTACATACTTTTAAGAAAACTATTATACCCTGATCTTCAATTTTCAATGGGTTCAGGGCATACAAAGGAAACAAGCTAAAATTTACAAAAACCTTTGTTTTCTGATTCACAAATATATGTATGTATATAAAACTGATGATAAGTCGCATATCTAATTTTATTTATTCTACTAGACTTAAGACATACAAGTTTAGCGCGCGCACCATTCTGTGAAACAATGACGTCACGCTTACAATTCAGCTGTTCGCTTTGCATAACCCACTATCACTCAATCGTAATCGTGGAGTGACAGCACTATTGCTGTTAATCACTCAAAAGGAACTTGAAAGTTGCTCTTAACTGTTTAGCCATTCTGCCTAAGATGTCTGTTAACTTCACAGTGCTGAGTGTAAAATTAAACGTTAAAACACACTGCCTTACTTTATTTACATATGTATGTACATATGTACATGCATATGTATATGTATATGTATATGAACATGTATATGTATATGTATTTTTAATAATTTATTCATTCAATTAACTTTTGCTTTTATTCATGCCTGCACTATGTGCCACAACATTTCATTGTTCATTATTATTATGTTTATTTAAGTCAGCACGCATACATTTATAATATAAGCTAATATTTGATAAGGGCTACTGCTATTTCTACTACGCTTTTATACTTAGGCCTAATACACTACTTTTTTGTTTGTTTAGCACTGTTGTTGTTGCTGATCATATTGCACACTTCTCTCTCCTCTTCTTGTTTGCTGCTAACATTGTTGTTATTGTTGTTGCTCTGATTGCCGCTGCTGCTGTTGCTATTGCTATTGCTGTTGTGTGCATCGACTGCATCCAGTTCTCGCAGCGTAATCTTTTGGAAATCACAATCGATTATTCTTTTGCGCTTGCGCAACGGCCGAGTGCTCTCCGCCGCAGCAGCAGAGCCGTTGCTGCCCCCCGTTGTGGGCGATGTGGGAGTGGCCTCCCTGGTCTCTTTGGTTTGGATGATCGTGCGTTTGGACTGCAGTCGCGTTATCTTTAACTTGGGCAGCTTCTGGGTATCCGCCTCAGCCGAGCTGTTGGCATTGCACCCGCCCTCCTCCGACTCAACATTGTGCAGAACGACGCAGTGTGTCGTCTCGCCCAACATGTCCTGCGAGGAGTCTGTGACGGGCGACGTCGCTGGCGATGGTGTTGTCCTAGTTGTCGTTGTCTTTGGTATAGATTTCTGTTCCTCCTCCCGCTCCTGCTCCTGCTCCTGCTCCGGCCCCTTTTCCGAATCCAATTCCTGCTCCTTTTGCTGTTCCAGCTCCATCGGCCGCTCCGTTTCCGTTTCCAGCTCTGGCTTGGCCTTGCTGCAGTCCAACGGTTGTGGCTGCTCCTCAGCTGCCGTGTTCGCACGCTCCTCATCGAAGCGCTTGCGGTGCTCGGGAGTCAGGTGCGCCTTGTAAAAGTCCACGACGGGCAAGGGCACAGGTATGGGTATGGGGAGCGGTATGATAATGGGATACGGCACCATCACCGTCACTGGCGGAGCGGCGCCGAGCAGAGCACCCAGCGCTCCAGGCAACTCCGGCTGCATCTGCGGAGGCGGTCCGAAGTGAGCGCCGAAGCCACGCGGCAGCATGCCCGGCAAAGGACCGAGGAAGGGATGGGGCGGCGGCGGTGCAGGTCGGGCGCCAAACGGATGGCCCAGCATTCCGTTTGGCGCTGAGGCGAAGTAGCCGGCAGGCAGACCAGCGGTAGGCCGACACGGCATAGCCGGCGGCAGCTGCTGTTGATGCTGCTGCTGCGGTGGCTGCTGCTGCGGCTGCGGCTGCGATGACTGCTGCTCCTGCATGGGCGACAGGGGAGGCAACGGCACACTGGAACCGGCAAAGTCGGTGCTCAGCGTGGGCGGCTGCTGCTGCTGTTGTTGTTGTTGCAGCTGTTGCTTCTGCAGCAAGCTGGCAACAGTCTCCGTGCCGGCGCCGACCACACGATGCGGACGCTTGCGTCGGCCTGGCTTGGAGCCGGAGTTAAGTGCGTGGTGGCGCTGCAGCGGAGCAGCCGGCGCCTGGGGAGCCCCAGTCAGGGGGGCTGTCTTTTGCGCCAGCAGTTTGGAAACGGGTGCCACTGAGATCAGAGGTTTGCTTGGATGGGTGGGCGATGTGTGGCAGGGCGAGCTCCGCTTGGAGGCGGACGCAGAAGCGTTCGCAATGCACACAGCCGGCGGGCCAGGCGACACCGAAATGGTAGACGCGGGCGAGGCCGAGCGACTGCGACAGTTGCGCAGCCACAGATCGGGCGTGATAAGGCCCGCTCCGTCACCAGCGGCCGCGGCCTCCAGGCCCTGGTCCCGCAGGTGCGGATTCATGTCCAGGTGTGCCTGCGTCTCGTTGCAGAATATCTGCATCTTGTACTGGTTGAGGCATTTCTCCGAGCAGAACTGCAGCTGCGATGCGCCGTCCTGGAAGTCCACATAGCTTACGGCGTGTCTCACGTGCTTGCACCAGTCGCACGTCTTGGCCTTCTTGAAGGACGCCCGACGACTCTGCGCGAAACAGGACTCGGAGCAGTAGCGCGGCCCATCCGTGCTCGTCAGATAATCCGGCGCATTCTCTGCGATCGGGCGATGGCACCAGCAACAGTTGTTGTAGTCTGCAACACAAGCCAAAGAGAAATAGAGAGGTTAGCACAAATAAAGTATTGAGAAGCGCATAGAGCGGCAGCATGGCACAAGTTAACTTAGATTGAATTACTGGAAATGGGAAATTGATTTGTGAAAATGTATGTAAGTAACAAGCAGAAGAGGACGGTGCGGTACTCATATTTTTGACCAGAAAGAGGATTTTGGTTCCGATTTATCAAAAAAGTTCTCTGATTATAAAGCAACATGCAGCAAAAGCTAGATCGATGCAGGTGCTTTATGCTTTCCATGTATGGGTATGATAAGCGTACAACATTTTGCAGTACTCAGGCAGTTCACGAGAGTGAAATGAGTGTATTGATTTTGTGCAAAGTCCGTCCGTCTGCATTTTCCGATATCCAAAAAATCATATTAGCTAGAAAGGTGAAATTTGAAATGTAGATCCGCGTCGAACCCCCCCAGATCAAAAGCTATAGTAAATTTATATCTCCTACAGTTTAAGAGCCACCAGCTTCAAATTTGGATAGTTAAGTCTCCTCTATCGATTACCCATAAATAATTGTTGCGCTTTTCAGGGGTGTGGCATATCGAAAAATACCCTGGGATGTGAATGAGTATTCTGCAATTGCTGACGGCCCGACTGAAACGTTCTTAATTGTTTTTTTATACCCTGAACCCATTGAAAATGGGAAATCAGGGTATAATGGTT